CACAAAAAGGCTCTTGGTGAATTACTTTTGATAGAGAACCTGGCAAGGCAAGTGAACACACATACACGCACACACATGAAGCCAAATTCATTAAAAATAAAACCAGGCTTTTTAAAAAGAAAATTGTTTTTGAAACAGCCAGCAAGGTTTATCAGGGCTGTTTTTTGTTTTGTTTTGTTTTGTTTTGCTTTGTTGTTGTTTTCTGTCCTTCTGATAACAATGCTTTTAACCAGCAAGTGGTGTAGTATGGGGAATGGAGGACATGCAGCCTGCCTGGGACCCAGCCACCAGCTGGGGCAATTGAGGCCACTTCTGCTGTAGAGGAAAATAACAGAGCCACAGGCATTTACCTCCTGGATGCTGAAACAGAGACCAGTCTGCAAAGAACAGATTCAACTGAATGCATAAAAGCCAAACTTTTCACTTCTGCGCTTTGTAAATATCGGATGTATGTGAGGCAGGATGATTCGCACAAAAGAAAAATGAGTGTGCCTCTATGGAGCAGGAGAGCCATGAGAACTGCCAAACTTAAGAAATGCCAAATAATTGCAGTTTTGTTGTCCAGGAAGTGTTGGGGAGTGTGAATAAATATTACAGGACAAGAAAACACTGAAGTACTACTAAATAAGCTGGGCTGATCTCAAATATATTTCTTCTCAGAATGATAAATGAGGTTTTGTGTATAAAGGCTTAGATGTTAATTATTTTAGTGTACTCAGTTTGGTGCAGAGTATTACCCAAGTTCTTTTCACAGCTAAAGTCTGGGAAAGTTTTGCATGAGTGCCATTTCTAAGTTAGATATATCTGGATGAAAATTTTCAAAAAATGCACTTTCAATATATCAGAAAAATCTAACATAGACATTGGACATGACTGGAGATCTATTCATGTGTTCCCTGTCTCCTCTTTTAAAAGCTGAAAACCACATAAAGTATTCAAACTCAGTATATGATGTTCGTATACTCTTCATATCTATATTTTTGATATAGAACTATTTTGTTGTTGTTATTGTAAATAAAGTGATTCTTTACTATTGCACTGTATAATCTCTTTGAACTAGTCCATTGGGATAAAGAAACATCATGGTAGTGAAAGGCAGGCAACAGCAGTCTTTGAGCATATCTCATTTAGTGAGAAACATGATAAAAAGATCCATTGCAAGAACACAGGTCCAGACTTGCTGAAATGTTTGTAAGCGAGTCTGGGCATGTTCTACATTTTATGTTTTAGTTTTACAAACTGAAGCACCAGCCAGTTGTGCTGCTCTAAACCAACCAAATATAGTCCTTAATTCTGTTCAGAAGATAAGCCCTTGCCATGGCGATGTAGGAAAACACGTGGAGATTAACAGAGGTAACTGAGCAGGGGTCTTGCAATAGTGGAGTGCACAGTGTAGCACCAGAGGCATTTTTGTTTAAAATTCATAGCTTTTCTAGGAAAGGAAGCACAGGTCGTGAATGTTCATACAAATCAAAGTATTTCCAGCCTTTGTTTCTGCCAGGTACACAGCAAGCCATGCTGTGTGAGTGTATTCGTGTGGTTTGTCAAGGCCATAGACAGATGTTTTCTAGGTCTCGCTCTGCTGACTGGAGATGGTGCATTGCATTCCTCCCCCAGTTAGAAGTACTGCCCCCACAGATCTACTGTCTGGGGGCTCTTTGGATGCGCCCTTCCCTACCTCAGGTAAAGGCACCTGACCCCTCTTTATTGGTAGATTAATGTTGCTGGCTGACTTTGCCAGATAAGATATACTTAACAATGCTTCAGCTAGCCAAACTGTGAGAACAGGAGCAGTGCAAAAATGGTGGACAACCAGGATGGCACCATCTTCAGCTGGTACTTCACAAAATGAAGACCTGCCTGTGTTTTCTCTACATGGCTTTGAAACAGTCAGCTTTTGGGGAAATCATTGCAGGATATCAAGGTAGATATAGTAGATACAGAACCCAAAGACACCTCATGGCATAGCTGTGTACTGTTCATATTTCCATGCTGACAGCCGCCACATTGTTTTTCCAATTTCTTCCCATAACATTGACCACTTTGCCATAAATAGTGAGTAGTACTGAGCTCTGAGTGAACACATTTGTTATCCTAGGTTGCTAAAATTCATATCCATCAGTAAATTCTTTTTCTCAAAATATTAATAGAACTCAGTTTTACACATCTTAGTTACTTATTAGGTTTGTAATGTGTAGCTTCTAATCTGATTTTAGAGGTCTAATATCATATCCATAAAATTAATATGATGATATAAAGTTAAAGGAGTTTTTAACACAGTTTTCATAAATATCATCATCTGGAAACTCAGTCAGCAAAGATCATCAGTGCCCCCAAAACAAAAAGGGGGTCATCATTGTAATTGAGCATTGATTACTTAAAGAGCATAGTTGTTTCTTTAGTTGATGAGGCCATCTTTCAGACAGATGTCCACTCTGAAAACAGAAACTTGTGGTAATTTACCAGACCCTTTTATATCCTTTATCAGGATTGGTTTTACCTTTTACTGTCCTGCAATACTTCAACATGGCATTAGGTCCTTACAATGGGTGACACACGGTACTTTACTGACTGATAAAGACAATTCCTTGCTGATTATATATCTTTGAATATTGATCTGCAATGAGAAAAATATAAAAAATCATGGTTGGTTTTTCTACTCAAAAATATTATATATATGCTTGGATGTGTTGATAATAATATTTTTTATTTATTTATTTATTTTTACTAGAGAAAACTTCCTTTCTTCCTACCATACATTATTTTGATCTTTCACTCTTGCAGGCAGAAAGAGGATATAAATAATTTTTAGAAATCCACAAAGATAAAAAAACAGCAGGGATTATTAAGCTCTTTTTCTTCACATGCTGGAAAATGTTCTGCTTCAGCATCTCATTAATAAATCTTTATTTTGTTTCTAATTCTGCGTGTGAGTGAGACCCATTATGTTTATTTTAGCAGACAAGGTTACGGCTAAAAGACATTTCTACAGGAGAATATGTTAAAGAGTATGTGTCACACCTTGGATGAAACAGACTTTTAAGGAGTGAAACATTTATTTTGAGCAGCCAAAAAGTACAGAAAAAGTTTTAACGGAAAGCAAATAATTTTCAGAGTGCGATTCTCTACTTCCTCCAAACCAGAATGAAAATAAAAGGCCCAAAAGTTTCTTTGCAGAAGATGCATGTTGGCAAGAAAGCTGAATATGATAAAAGTATCCTTATATGGTGGTGATGAGAAGCATGTCTTTCGAGGGATAAATGTTCTGTGTAATGTGCTTTGACCTGAGACCTAAAATGTGAGATGACTGAGAAGTATCTGTATTCACATATTCTCTCAGTTGTTTTGTAGAGTAGCTGAAGTTGGCCTAAGTCAGCAACACACAGAAGGGAAACGACTATTTTAACCACTTACATTAAAAAAAAAAAAAAAAAGAGAGAGAGAAAAAAAAGTCATAGAATGCGAAAAAGTTACTGCTGTAGCCTGGAGGCAGTCATCTCAGCAGAAGGCTGGATACCAACAGTAGAGGAATGGAAAGTCCACAACAATCCCATTATAATCAGCACTGCTGAGCAACTTAAATACAGGGGTTGCTGCCAAATTCACAATAATAAGTGAATTAGATGTGTTTGCTGCCTGGGAAAAGCTGGGTGGGGATGTACATATATAACGTATAAGTAAACTGAGAAGTCCTAATAGCACACAGACAGATTTTTTAAAGTCATGTGAAAAACAGCGATAGGTGAAATTTTGTAATAACTGCAGCTGTAAATCTATGGATGCAAAACTGTTAGCAGCTACTCAGACTTCTATTGATAGGGATATAAAAATAGACCTTTTTCAGCTGTTGTGTACTGTTAGCTGTTTCCGATGGGCAAAGTGCTGAATCTGCTCTTTTTTTTTTATTATTTGTGATCCAGAATTATATAGTGTAGTCATACTGACATTTAATCTTATTATAGTCCTGAAATACTTCCTCACCAGCTGCAAAGCAACATTTTATTTGCCTTCATGTACTGTATGACTTCCTATAGACGAAATGATATTTATGTTTGGAAAACACTCCAGTTTATATCTCAGGTAAGATGATGTGTTTAGCAAGAATCAAAGACAATCAGAAGGAAGGTTGCTCTACACCAACAGATGAACTGTCATTCAGTCATTGCTAGGAAGGCTGCAGGAGTCTCAGCAGTCAACGTGGGTGACAGTGCTTTTTGTTTGGTTGAATTTGGTTTTGTTTGCTTGTTTGTGTTGTGTTTTTTTTTTTTCCCTCCCCCCCCCCCCCCCCCCCCCTTTTTTTTTCTCAGAAAAATGTTTAACCAAGTTATGCTACAGACACATCTTTCCTGGTGATATAAAACAAGTTGCTGCAACACACTGAAGATTTATTAGGAAAACACATGAACAGACAAGCCAATTCCCATTCTAGTCAGGGAAAGCTTGGTTAGATCAGAGTCTGAACTCTGGAAAACTTGCTCAGAGGTCACAAATCTTGGAGTGAACAAAGAAAAGGCTGATGTTACAGGAAAGGAAATTGGCAGATGGAAGCCAACAGACCTGCTAGCTGAAGCCTAGCAATTTGTGCCTGCCAAGCTCTGTATAAGAAAAGGTGGCTTCTTTGTCTATCACTACTTTTTGTTGTTTTAGTGCTTACTGTAGGAAAGAAAGCAAGTGCGATGAGAAAATGGTGCCACTGAAGTGTTTGTATAAGGGCCAAATTCACTGCCAATATAATTCGACATTAACTGCAAGCAATGGAGGTAACCCAGGGGCAAGTCTACCATCCTTTATTTTTCGGCTGTTTTGGTACATACTCATTAGACAGAGAGGCTTGCATTAGCCCATTAGTGTATGCTATGTTTTAATCAATTTAGTATGCATTACATTCAATGTGATGTAAAACTATTAATTATGAGGGCTGAGGGGAGGGGGAGCACTCATTTCTTTATTCATTTCTTTTTATTATTATTATTTGTTTGTTTGGATACACATACAGTTCCTTTTTTTTTTTTTTTTTTTTCCCCTTTAAACACTCACTCTGTTTGTCTTAGGGAACATTCAACCAGAGCTCTGAAGTACAGACTGACCCTCTCCCCACACTGCAGTAGGTGGGAGCTCATCCAGCTCATGCTCTGGGCTAGCTAAGCTTTATACCTGCTCTTCTGCAGGGCTCATTGGTTCATTGAGCGTTGCCCTAATTCAGCTACATGGACATTGGCTCATACCAGCTAAAACATACACTGGCTTGTGTGTTGTTACTCATTACTATATGGTCCGTGTATCTGGCAGGCAAAGCAATAGCAACACTTCCAGCATGTCAAATTGTTCGTGAAACCCCCAGCTTAATTACATACATGCTGTTATTCATGGATTGAAGCAGGGTTGGAACATTTATGGCTTTGTTCTTCATTTTTACCATTGCAGTTTCTTGGTTTGTGAATGTTCTCATTAGGTTTCCATTTCTTAACAACCCCCTTACTCTGCTTGTTAGTCCATCTGGTAACAGCCCTTCTGTGAACTTTTACAACATCACATTGCAGGGAGGATACAAATATCCTTCCCTTCTAAGATACAAATTTCTCTCATTCATTTGAATTACTTATTCCTAGCCTGCAGCAAAAGGCAGTTGTGCTGTGCACCATTAAGCATGCTTCCGTGTTGGGTTTCCTTGGGAGGATGTGAAGGAATTTTCTTCCTAAGTTTCTGCTGTGAAATGTTTCTTGTCTGATTTAAATCTTATGCAATCTTCCTCTTATTGACTTGTCTTCAGCTTGCAATCTTACTTTTTTTTTTCCTCATGCTTATTGTTTTCTGTGCCAAAAATCACAAGTTATGGCAAGAGAAATAGATTTTGAGATTATTTTTTTCACTTCACTTTCACTATTTTTTCATTGACGTGGTTATGTCAGGTTCTTCTTCTTTTGCAAATGGTCTTTAAAGAAACAGCAGAACTGGAGGGTACAAAGAAGGCTCCTGATGTTTTTATGAGATCTTCACACACCCTGATCATCGGTAATGAGAACACAGAGCCTGAGCTCTTCCTATCTCACATGATTATCCTTCTGACATTGAAAAAGGCCACACTATACAAAATGGTTCAAACCCACCAAGATGGGTTTTGCTGTACCAATGAGCAAATTAGCATAATGTTACATGAAGTATACATTGACACATTCTTTCACTGTTCTCATATAGTCCTATGCCTTCTCATAAACTATGAAAATAATTGGAAAGGCATGTAAATAATTTAAACCAGGAGCAGTAAGACATCAGAACAGTCTGATAGCAGGATGCTTTACAGAGCATACAAACAATTCACTCTGCTTTTCTTGTTCAGTATCAGTTATGTAATTAAATAATAATAATAATAATAATAATAATAATAATAATAATAATAATAATAATAATGATTCCAGGTAGTTTCAGTGATTAGATTACCAAAGGTTCTCAACCTAGAAAGGAAAATGCAAGAAATTCAGATGTGTATCATGTAGTGTCCAATCTTTACTCATTAACCTGTGTAATTATCTTCTATTTTTAGTGGCATATATTTTTATTAATGAAAGGTAGCAGCTTGCTTTGCCAAAAGCAAGAGTATTGAGTGAACAGAGGGAAATCATATTTTGCACAATGATTGTGAAATCTTAATAGTATTAATTATCCATTTTTACACTCTTTTTGTTCACTTTTATAGCAAGCCAACTCAACAAATAATTTCTTACACAAGTATGTATGGAAAGTAACTTTAAACATCCTTGTTGTTTCATTATGAAACAAAAAAAAAAAAAAAAAAAAAAGAGGATGAATGAGAAAAAAAACTGGGGGAATAAACTGCGACATCATTGTTGAGGTCAGACGAATGAGGGAGAGAAATTCTATCCACACTGACCTACCTCTAAACAAGCCAGTTTTAGTCCTCAGATTAGGACAGCTAGGTCAGCATAGAGCTGTGCCAACTGAATGGAGCTAACTTATTTATACAGCCTCTGGGACCTAGGTGAGTACGCAGTGTGGCACTGTGCCATGCAGACATACCATCCTTCTTCTTGAGCTATCTTGGCTATCTCCCCCATGGCACAATGTTATGTAATATAGACGTGTTCATAGGTGACCAAGTAGCCCAGGCAGCAAGCAAATTTCAAGCAGCAAATGCTCAAAGGGTTGTAATCATTTATGAATGCTCTATTAGCACAGATATTTGTTCAGATGAACTGCTAAATAACAAACAAATGGGAAAAATCTGGGACCTTATTATAGACAATATATTAGCAGAGAAAGGAGCTAATTTCAGCCTCCTCTCCCCAGTTTGATTGCTGCTGACATATCAGCCAGCTGCCAAAAGTATAGCTGCATTTTCTGAACCTTGTTTTAATATTCAGAGGAGCATTATGTTCCGTTATTTTTCTTGTAACTCTTACATGCAAGGTACTGCATACAATACATTTTGCCCTCACTGTTGAGAAGTGTGAAATACACAACAGTTCCTTTTGATATATTTCAAACACACTGTTGTGTTCACCGATACAGAAAGCACTTCAGCGAATGTACTCTGCTCATCTATTCATCTTGATGCAGAGGTCTGCTTGGAGTTTCACACTCTTCAGTCATTACTTATATGCTGCAACACACAGTGAATTGCTTAGTAGTGCCTGAAGATCTTTCAATCTTGGGGAAAAAAGGTTTTATTTTTAGATCACAATAATTAATAACAACTCAAATTGGCAAAAGGTTTTGAGAGTATAGCTGGATGTAAGCACACATATGTACATATTTGTGGAGAAAGAGAGGCACTAGCACATGTTCAATCGTCATTCTAAAGGCCAAATCCATCTCTCAGAAAGCCACAGAATAATAGAGCCAGTAGGGATGGGTGGGACCTCACAGCGTCTTCATTACAACATCCTGCTCAGAGTAGGGTTAGACATGACATCTCACCAGGTTCCTTGGGGTTTCATCCAGTCAAGTCTTGAAAACCCTTCTTCTATCTTCTCATTTTTTAAGAAGCCTGAGAAGGACATAGAGTCATGTAGTAACTTCAGAAAGCATTTGATATTTAGACTATTTCATGCCTGTTACATAAAACTGCTTCATCTCCATGTATAGTCTTTGGAAAGAATAAGAAACATATATTCCTCAAAATATAATCTATTTTTGGAAAATTATTTTATGTTAGCCATAAAAATCTTTGAAACTTATTCTTTTATTAAGACATAATTAAAAATAGGCAATTTTCAAATAGTAATTTTCATATCCAGCAGTTGCTTTTCCATCAATTCTCATAAAAGTCACATGATAGTGATTTTCCTTTATGTGGGAATGAAGCTACTTTGGTCCTATGGACCACTGGAATTAGAAAGAGCTGGGTGATTTGGGAAAAATCACCTTACTTTTTCTTCTGTCATTTTCTCTGTTCAGCAGAGGGTGATGGTACTACTTCAACGCTTGTTTATGTGGAGTCTTGTTTAAGTGTCAAGTACACATTCCTAACAGCTAATCAGGCCGAATTCTACTCCTGTCTGTATGACTCCTGTTAAATTCAACAAAATGTCATAGTGTGTAAGAAAGACATATTTTACTCTGTGAATTTTTTGTTGTTTTGTGTTTTGTTATTGTTGTTTTGTTTTAGGGTGTTTTGGTTTTGTGTGTGTGTTTGTTGTGTGGTTGTTTGTTTGTTTGTTTGTTTTTTGGGGGGGAGTTGATTGTTATTGTTTTTATTGTTGGTTTGTTTGTTTTGATGATACCATACCAGAGAAGATGAGCCTGAGCAGTTCTACTGTTCTTGCAACTAGCAGTTCTTGCAACTGATGCAAGGACCAATTTTCAAGTTGTACGACAAAGATTTTATATCTAAGTCATATTTAACCTGAAGCATCCTTCTGGACTGTATTCTGTATTTCAAGTTTATTATGTGCTTTGGAAATAAAGCCACTCTTCTAGAAGCTCAGAATTTTTATGCCTATAATGTTATGCCCATTGAGACTATGAGATCCCATGACATAGGGGCAGAGTGGGGGACAGCACCCAGCAGTACAGCTCAGGAGACACGGTACTCTTGGCTGAAGTCAAGGTGAAGCACCTGAAGCTGCTGAGAAGCCTTGGTGAGCATCTCTGGGTGTATGCAGTACCCATTTCTCAAATACAGAGAAAAGTCATGATCTTCTCCTGGGAACAGGGGAGCTGCCAGAGCTATTGTGAAGGAGATAAAGCCTCTGTCAGCCCCTCAGGAAACCCGTATCTGAAATGACCAGCTTGGCATTTGCAGGATGGAGGCCAAAACTGCGTGGAATTTAGTACAAATCAATGTATTATAGCAACATCTATATCTTTCTAGTCCTAGAAGAAAAATCAAGCTTCTATGGTCATGGTTTACAACTATAAGGCAACACAATTTTGGGCATATTTTTTCTAGTTTGGATCAATTTAAGTAAAATAGAGGAGTTGTAAGGACTTTTCTATCTCTAAAATGTAGAAGTTGTAAAAGTCTAAAAGTGTTGTTTTTAAGTTTTCTGAACACTCCCAGCCATTCATTTGCTTCAACTGCTTTTCTCAGAAAAGATAAATATTTACAACAAGTAGAGCTGAGAGCTGAAGAGGGAGAAAAAAAAAAAAAAGCAAAAACAACAACAACAACAAAAATTCTTTGAAAACTCTCCAACATCATGAATCCTGTGAGAGCTTAATTAAAATGAAAAAGGAATTTTCAAAGGGAGAAAACAAAATAAGATTTTTAATGGTCTATTTTTGTTCTGGGCTCATAAAATCTTTCTTTTTTTTTCAGCTAGTTCCCCCTAAACATAAATATTGGAAGCTTTAAGATTTGTTTTCCATCTGAGGCAGTGAGTTCAAAAGCTTTTTCCAGTCAAGCTTCGAGGATTTGCTCACCAGAGTTTGGATTTCTGACACAACTAGTGAGTCTAGAACAGCAAACATTACCGTGAAATTAAAGTTGCCATTTCTTGAGAATGATGATTAAATAGTAATATAACACTACTTAGAAATAGGGGAACCTGTTTGTTCCAGCAACCACGATGCAGAAGGGTCAAGGTCAACCAAACCCTACATACATATCACCTTAGGCTCACATGAAAAAGGTTATTTCTGCAGCCAACCTCACTCAGAAAGCAAAATGCATATCTACCTCCCTTTCACCAGCTAATTGACAATATGGGTGCTGTTTCTAATGTGAGTCCAGAGCAATACATGAATGTTTCAGTCCATATCAAGCCTAACCTGCTCCAGCACCACAGACCATCCACTTTCAGGGTACTGCTAGTTGACATTTCAAAGAAAGAGAAACTGCTGGAACATGGAACAGTGTTTTTGGATATCCACCATTCCTGGCAAAAGAAAAAAAAAAAAAAAAAAAAGAAAGAAAAAAAAGCCCCTTCAGTCCAAAGTAGGAACAAAGGAACAATAGCATGCCAGTGTTTAAGTGTCAAGCCTTGTCCAAACAATCTAAGTGACAAAAAGTTTCAAATAAATCAATTTGCTTCAGTCTTTTCTGCAGTAAACTGACACTGAACTACATAAAGCTATTAAAAGCCGAACAAAAAGGGATTGTTTTCCAGAAGGTAGCATATGAACATGGAAAGGCTATACAGGAAACCTACAGCTAGACATGGAAAACTTTCAGGTGACAGACCTTAGTGCTGGGATCAGGTAAGGCACAGCATGAGCCGAGATGAGGAGATGCCAGGGAACAAACTGTGGACTACAAAGAACAGATTCCAGAATAGACTCTGACACAATCTGGAAACCATGCACTTAAGAGCTGAGAAAACTGAACAAACATACAAAAAAAAAAAAAATATATATATATATATAAACATATATATATACGTAAACAAGATTTGTTGTTTCTGAACCCCACTGCAATACCTCTGTGTATATTATTCTACTCCTATCAAATACCTCTGACAGGGCAAACCTTTAAAATGTTTGTGTGATTTTGCAGCTTGTTTAAAGAGTACTTGAAGGGTTGTGAGAATCTGCAGAATCCATAAAGCAGGTGACTGGGTCAGTGGGTACCCACCATCAAGAAGCACTGTATATTTGTAGCTTAGGTTGGGACTGTTTCCCCAAAGCCTGGGTGAACTCTCCCAGTCATATACCCTGTCTAAGGACAAATAAGGTTCAGCAACTGTGTACCCTCATAGCATTCTGGGGAATGCCAGTTCACCTGGGACTTGATCAGATCCATGTCAGCTTCAGTCTGTTAAACACCATCTTGTTCCTTGAATGGTAAACATCACCAAGACCTAGCATTTGTTTCATAATATTAAATCACAATACTTTATTCTCCAACAATTCCTACAAATTTTATTCTTGTGAAGAAGGCCCATCTTTTGATTCTTTGTCCTCCTCATCTGCCACCATCTATCTTTTCTTGGACTCTTGCACTGGTTCTGTGTGAACAGTTCCATGATCAACATGAGTTACCTCTCATGCACACCTCACATATGTATTGATATGAAGAATGAGGAGACAGAGCAGAGACCATGTCAGTTCTTTCCTTGCTTACACTGGCATTATTGCAGAACTGATTCTGATTTCAAGCAGTTTAAAAGAAAGAGGGATTAAGCACTCTGAATTTGTTCCCAGAATCAGCTGTCTGTTGGAACACTGCTGATTAGACACGATAAAACTTGCCTGGAGGAATGCAGCAAACACCCGTCAGAGGCAGAGAGCAACTCCAAAGGATTTTGCCAGCTTCCATGGAAAACACTCTTCTGGCATCTCTCTGCTTCTTATTCTCTGCTCAGTGAAATACACTATAGCACCCCAAGTATAAAAACCAAACACCAATCCATAGAATGAAATAAGTCATCAGGTTGTCAATTACCATTGCTGTTTTCCCACCGTATGAGCAACCTTCTGTCTTCTCACTTTGCTTATCACTTCCATTACTCCTTTACTCTCACCATCTACCAAACTAAAATATCCTTTAGAAGAAAGATTCATAGCCATGAGTGGATCAACATAACCTTTCTCCCCAAAATCCCTTTCCGTGAGTATTTATAGTTAATGAAGATACCATTGTGCAAAGTTAACATTTACTACACAGCTGAGAAAATGAAGGGGTAGCATGACTCTTACATGCCAACTAATGATGAAAACATGGTTACAGAATCCTTTCTGGCTTCATTAGCATATACACAAACTATTACAGCTGCTGTTGCAGGTTTTCAAAAACACCAAATATAAGTAGTACTCTTCTGCTCCATCATGAAAGCCTCTGAGCTCAAGCCCTAGTAACTGTGTGTTCATGCAGTGTGGACCAGATTCATGGCATGTGCAATGGAGAGTCCAGTGTCATTACACTTTTGATGAATATTTCAATCTTCTTGTCTAAACAATGCAATGTCAGGGCCTGCATGAGAGTGTCATGGTAGATAGTTTATTTTGCAAATGATGGATTATTACATTCCACTGGAGGGAGGCTTTAAAGCCTAGTCTTACTGCATTTGACATTGTGATTGACCAGATCAACTAGTAGGTATATATGTAAAGGGTCAGCTATGTGTCCAACATTAAACACAGAAATTAGCAGTAGCAGGGTCTCTTTCAAATTGGAGACTCAGGACCTGGCCCAATATCCTTTCAGATAGCACTGTTGTATTCATTCAGAAGCTCCCTGAAAGTGCTTTTAAGTCAATGTACTTTCTTCTGCACTGCTTTGCCAGTCTTATATGTGGTGGACATATTTCCCCTAGCAGAAAAAAGTGATGTGCACGTGGTTTTGTTTCCAGAGGTCATTTATGGGACAAAATCAGTCTTCTACATGACTAGCTGAGGATTAAAAAAAAAAAAAAAAAAAAATGTTTTGTGCTAGACTTGTTTTAAATATTGATGGCAAAATTTACTCAAGGTTGTATGAGGTTACCAGTGGCTTATGCAACTGGTCAGCACAGAGCAATGTGCTGATCGATTTCCCTATTTTACTATTTTATAAGGAATCCTTCTGGTAACTGGTCCAATGACTGGTCCATTTTTTCCCCATTTATT